TTGAATAATATTTTGTCTCGCATGCCTATATACGAGAGGCGCGCGCAAGTGCGCGGAAATTATTACGTAACCCGGCCTAGCTGGGGCCCGGGCCCGGGCCCCGGGGGGGGGACCCAGAGCGCGCGCGCGTCCTTACTATATAATACTCAGCAGCCCCCCTCGCTCTGCTGCGCGAAAAGGGTGGGGCCGGTGGGCCTTAGCATGCGCAAAAAAAATAAGTGGAACAAGTGGAAAAATCATTTCTTCAAAATGAAGGGGGATGTAGGGATGGCGTAAATTATGAAAAAGGATGCCAACAAGAAGATGCTTTAGCCGACAACAAAAATCATACATCCATCCCTACATCTTTCTTTACTCACACATCCTCTACTGTGATCATTATTATGTTGTGAATTATGTATAATTATATCTTACGTAGCTACTTCATGACAGGTAACCACACATTTTAAGGGCGTCTACCGACACTCTGATACAGAGCAAACGAAAGAAAGATGTATGGATGGATGTATGATTTTTGTTGTCGGCTAAAGCATCTTCTTGTTGGCATCCTTTTTCATAATTTACGCCATCCCTACATCCCCCTTCATTTTGAAGAAATGATTTTTCCACTTGTAAACATAACTACCCTGGAAACTATAATTATGCTCTAAGTAAGTTCTTGCCCCAAACGCGTTTTATATAGAATGTCGGGGGAATGTAGTTTATAATCGAGCATTATAGCTAATGTAAGTCAGGAAAGCTTTGCAATGAGGAAAAATGGAGCTAACATGGATCAACCCTGGATTCCAGCGGCGCGTCGACGCCCTTAGAAGGCCGCCGTTTTAGCGCCAGTTTATATTATAAGGTGTGCTAAGAAGGAAAGTTTAGTCCGGGAATAAGGAAAATGTAACACGGGTGCAGAAACGTGATCCCGGATTCTAGCGGCGCTTCGACGCGCTTATAATAATGCCGGAATTTAGGCTTAAAATCCCGAATTTTTGCGGTTAGAATTTTGTGACAAACGACGTGCCATACGGGCGTATATACCTATGCTGCGGTGTACGTACGGACTTCGTGCGTGGTAACGCTTACGTAAAACCTACACTCACGTGATGTTCCCCGTTCTCTCCGCGGAGCCGGAGATCGCCCACCCGCCACAATTATTCCTGTCACGTTATATCTACACCGCGTTTAACGGGGAAGGCCTGTGTTCCGAGGCTAGCTCCGCGAGGCCGCTATACGCACGCACGCGTTGTAGCGTGCCAAAATGGCTCGGCCGGCTGAGCCGGCCGAACTGACCTCAATATTTACGCCACGCTAATTAGCGTAGCGCGTAGAATACAGCGCTCAATGAGACAGTATAATTGGCGAGCGGGAGCGAGCTAACCTAGTGGTCCATTGTATACGTCCGTCCGTACGTCGTGCTATTGCGCATGTGTCAGAATTACGCGCTTCTATTTTTTAAACGCTCTTGCTGCTAGCTCGATGCCGAGCCAGGGAGAGAATTCTCGTCCATTCGGCGGCATTCGCTGCACTCTTTGGTGCTTTACCGAGGCTTGCAATCTTCGTGGTTCCAAGCTGCAAGTTGTAAGTAGCCTAGGTTGGCTCTTGCGGATATATTCATTGTGTGGTCGCTCCCGCTCGCCAAAAATGCCGTGCATTCGCCTACTAGTATAGTAAATTCTGGCTCTCTAATTGGCGAGCGGGAGCGAGCCTACCTAGACGTTCGTTCGAGCGGATTTCGACCGTCCTACGTCGTGTAAATGCGCATGCGCGGCTTTGAATGCGCTTCTTTTTAAATTCCAAATTTTTACACATTTTCACACGCAGGCTAATACACGCCGCGTTGCCGAGCAGCCTGATATCGATCGCTGCCTAGCCTACTGCCATGTCAGCTGCCTGGTGGATCACGACAGACGAGCTGAAAGCGTAAGGTAAGGACCGTTCTGCTCACCTGCTCACCGTTCTGGCAATATACAGTACGCATGTAACGGCGACAGGTAGCTTTGTCTTGCTTCACGAAAGGAAAGCTGTGCGCTGACGGCACGTTATGCAGCCCGAACATCGCGGACAAATCCCAAGTTGGGTCGCTCCCGCTCGCCAACAATGTTCAACATTCTTCTAGTACTGTTCAGGCACATGCAGTGTATCTCGAAATTTAGAATGCAGTGTACCGCGGACACACCAATGTAATGCAATACTATTACTGAGTCATTCTGGCACGATACAAGTGCATACCTATGCTACCAACCAGCAGATAAACCTTTGCTTGAGAAATGTGTCATATTTGCTTGATTTGGAGTAAGTTTTGCTCGAAAATGCTGCGTGTCCATTCAAAATGTATGGGCATGATGCACCACAGGTTAGCACAAAAAAGAGGGATTTTGTGATTTTCTGGTGGGATAGGCAGTTTTTTGCTTGATTATCAAGCAAAAAGCTGGATAGTTGGTAGGTATGCAAGTGTAAGTGTTGCCAGTTCTTTACGGATTTTCTATGCTCGCGTGTCTAGTCTCCGTTCCAAACGTGGACTGGAATGAGGATAAATAGGGCCGTGCCCGACGTGACATATTATTAGTTCTCTCTCGCTAGCAGAGGACGAGAGAAAAATCAGACCGTCGGCAGCTGTGGAGGTGAGTCTCCGTTGTCACGTAAGTGCAGAGTGAAGAATTCTATTTGATCCTTAGGCCGTCGGCAACCGCGCTGTTGTTCGACTGAGGTGCGCTTTATTTAGAATATAGGCCCGTTTCTGCTGTTTGGGACCTCTCTCCTCTCTCTCTCTCTCTCCAAAACAATTTTTTTAGCGATATTACCGTTTTCTTTACTAAGCGCAAAAATTTAGGGAGACTAAAATTTTTGGGCAGGGGTCAAGGTTCACATGTGTCACGATGTCACTCTGGCTGAAGAAAAGAAGATGCCTGTTACTTCGATCAAAAACGCTATATATTTTGGCCGCCAGCTTTACTGTGTTTACAGTAACCCATGGTGCATCCCACGACTTGCCATTAGGGTGCAAAATGGCAGAGCGAAATCACTACGTCTATGCTCTTATCGGTGCCCCATGCGACCCGTCGACGGACGAGATTGCAACCGGGAAGATAGCGCCAACAGCCGAGAAAAGTCGCTGGAGGAAAGAGCGGCTAGCTACCTGGCTGGTGTAAAGAAAGATTTAGCTACAACCACGTGGATGCCCAAGGGAAAAATGGCTTGTGGAGCAGCTTCGACAGGCGTTTGGGAGAACAGACGTTCACGCATTCTTCGTCTATTATACCGGGCACGGCTACGGTAGCGACGGGGCGTGGTACTTGGTGCCAGGAAGAAACAATCGTTTAGCTCCTGCAGATCTATTTCGGTTGTGGCAGGAAAGTTTGTCTGGACAGAGTGGCGAGTCGGTGCTGATCATCATCAGCGATAGTTGCTATAGCGGGCACTGGGTGGCGGCGGCTGAGAGAGCCCAACTAAATACTGTTGCCGTGCAATCAGCAACTGATCCGAAAAACCTGTCGTTTGACGATGAAAAAACCGGTGGAATGTTCACATACAAAGTTTACAACCGTGGCAGACACGTGTTTCAGTCTGTGTTCAGTGTCACTGGCTTTTTCGCTGCCTTTGGCCACGGAGTGTGGATGATATGCAAAGAAGCTTCCCGATTATTTCAATCAACAGAAGTTGCACTTTTCCCGCAATTCTACATGTCGGATCAATTCACACAGATCATGAGTCGACGTGGAGGGACTATACAACCGTGGAAGGTCATTAACAACGGAAGATTCCTCATTGACACATTTGAGTGGATCATGTTTCGCTGACTATTCAATCACTAAGTATAATTATCTCCACTAACATTATCGACACTGAGCTGTAATTTTGTGACATTAGTTTTTACACACTTGGTAAGAGTTTCTATTCGTCTTACTACTGACATTTAATCCCACCCTTTAAGTTAAGTCACAGAATACAGAGAACTAAGAGGAGAAAGTTGAGGTTTAGGACAAACACCCTTATCTCATTATGTATAGCTACTTGTGGCTTTGGGTCCACCTGGTCATCTGGGTGTGTAGTTTATGGATAACCCTATAATTGGTGCTGCAGCTACCAGGCAGGGTAAATAAAATTTCAATGTACACAGATGAAACGCTATTAATATAGAATTAACGAACATTCTCTTGCCTCTTGTATTATTAGTTGCTTATAATTGAAAAATAGATTATTAGGTGCGGTTTCATGGGCAGGCTTTAGTAATCAGACTACAACGATAGCTAGCTATAACCTAGTCTGGTGCCCAGACCCTTCACTTATGTTTCATCAAGGAAGGGGCTGCCCCCGACTCTCAACTGTCTCTATCCTGGATTCTCATATCAGACACTACTCACTGTGCCTCAAGATTCACTCCCAAACTCTTTGTCTCAGTGTCATAAATTACAGTCTGTGTGTGAATGTGTGTTTCTCTATGCAGCGGTGTTTGTGTGTTGCCTTTTCTCTCCGTTTGTCTGATCCAATTGTCACCTGCATTTGTTGTATGTTGCCTCGCCTCTCAAAAAGTCCTCTCAATTTAAGAGTGAGCAATAAGGCGCCACCCATAATTATATTATGTACATGGTCAAGACGTGGCCTGCGTTTTACATTAACGAGCAAGTCTATTATGATTAGCTGCCATGAGCATGAGAGAGTCGAGATTTCTGCAGCACATCAATGACGTTTTGTGTTTGCTGTTGCCACATCAGACCTAAGAATGTTCATGCTATTCTAACAGCACACAAGAAGGTCACGTGGGAAATGGTCTATTTTGTGTTCACCTGAGCCCCTGAAGTCATTGTGTAAACTGTTTACACAAGTAGTACCCTGTACTTCACACTTTTGTTATCAGGACACACAGCAAACTTTAGACTGATGGGGTTTCTGGAAATTCCAATGCTTGCGATTTTACAACTAGGTTATCAAGGGCTCAGGTGAAGTCAAACTTCAGGAACGATCTTTCTGGCGAGCTAACACAAGTAAGTCTATTAGAGTGTGACCTCACAACTGCTCTACATGATGTTACGCAGCATGCACATTCTCCAGTGTGACAGCTTTTGGATATGATATAATAAGGAAAAATGTGTAGGCTCGCTTGGCCAGCCAATAATAATGTGTGAAGATACCGGTATGTTCAATATGGATGTAAGTGAGGTTGGTTCAGCTATTGTGGAGGTGGCACTGTGGAAGAGAGAGAGAGAAAGCAAGACGTAGTCGTACTTGTGAGCACAACACAAGGGATAAGCTGTTAAAACTTACCATCGTACTTGGCAGCAATCTCCATGGCAAGGGCACGGTCTTTGCCTCCAGCTCGATGAGCCACTGCATCCACCAGCAGTTTCCATGACGGATCCCCAAAACTCTCTGTGTCATACGACTTCTTCAACCATTCTTTCAGCTTGTCTGACAAATTGTCTTCGACGTCATTTTTCTTTGCCTCGATTCTGTCGAGAAGATCAGGGTGCAGTCTGAGAGCCAGTCCCACCTTCTTCCACTTGTGAGCCACTCCCACCAGTTCAGAGCAGACACTGAAGAGATCTTTGATACCTGCACATACAGAGAGAGGGAGATGTTGCAATTTGAAGTACAGATGTGTCAACAACAAGGTAGCAAGGCAAAGCAAACAAGGCAACTACATCCCTTTTTTCAAGGAAAAAAGAAGAGCTACCCTGGGTGGGATTCGAATCCACGACACTCTGCAGTGCTCTACTAACTGGGCTAACAGGGCAGCTCGGCAGGTACCATGTTGTCAGCACTGTGCATTGTATACGAGAGAGATGCCATGCCTGAAGGGTGAGTTGTCGTTTTGACAATTATACCAGGGGTTCAAATCTTCAACGTGTACACACAAAATTATGGTTACCGAGTGGTTTTGTCTCTGGAGTGGGAGATGCAGGAAGGGAATCATCACTTGCAGAAGGAATTGATGTTGCAGCAGTCGAGGATTCCACAGATGACTCATCTGTATACCAAAGTTCATACATGAATCAAAATACGCAAGCAAAGGCAAATAGAAAATGGTATATGTAAGGACAAATGCATTGAGGTATGCACATATCATACCATGTGTCCTTTGTTCTGCAGCATCACCTGTAGTTACTGAGGCTGAGGATGAATGAGAGGGTGCGCCTGCAAAATGTTACATCATACATAACTATACGAACATAACTATACGAACATCAGCAAAGTATGATGGAATGCACAATCGCTGCACGCTATGACTCACATGGAGTTTGAATCCAGAGATACTTGGTGGTCAGATATCCAAACTTGTCACAGTCGGTTGTGCAGATCCACACCTTGTCCCGGATGTAGGCTGGGTGTGGTCTGTCTGTGTGGGTTCTCGGACACACGATTGCCGGCCGTGGCTTGTTGTTGGAATAGCCCAGAGTCTCGTCCACGGACTCGATCCCACCAAAGACAGCCTTTCGCACGTGCCCCCACAGCTCCTTCTCCCACATGTTTTGGGTGAACACATGAACCTCGAAGTACTCGTAGCGGTCAAAGAAGGTCACGGACCCGGGATACTCGGGGACCTCGAACTTGATGCAGTCGCGATACAGACACGAAGGCTCTTGCGACGAGAGATGCAGCTTCCAGGAGTAGGGGCTGTGGTTTTCAGGAGAGAGGACGTGGGACATGAGGGAGCAGAAGACGCCACTCTGGGGACCACCGTCGGGGAAGTCCACCACTAGGGCTCCGGCTGACGAGCACCTCTTGTCCATGTCGCTGGCAGAGGTGTGTCGGAGGACGCTCGGCATGAACCAGGTCTCTGGACCCTCCTCGTTCCACAGCCTGGCAAACACCAGCAGCTCCTCCAGAAGGTGGATCAGATCGTCACAGCTGAAGACTCCCTCCTTGTAGTGGCTGCTGAACCTCCTGTCTTCCAGAAACTTCTTTGTGATTCGACCAAACTTCTTGAACTCCTGCCAGCCGGGAGGCAGGAGATCCACGTCTGCTGATTCACCTGATGACAGCTTTCTTCTCTGGGGAGGGATCCTCGGGGGTCGATGCTGCAGTGTCCAACGACGTCTCTGACGACTCCTCTCCTGGCACTTCTGATGATTCACTGGAAGAATCTGACGCTGGCTCGGAAGCATTGCTGGCATCGGTTGTCTTCTCGCCAACATCTGGTGTGTGTTTCTCTTCTGGTTTTGCGTCGTCAGAGGATTCGTCTTCCCCTTCCGGCTCTCGCAGCTCAAACATGAACTCCACCAGCTCCGAGACCTTGTCCAGCAACACTTGTGGGTCGACAAACACGGTTTTTGGGAGGATGGTGCGGAAATAGAACATGAGGCTCACTTCGTGGAAGTGGTCCAAGGCAAGGTCGAAAGAGTTCTCCGCCAGCCCCAGTGACTCTGCCACCTTCAAGCATTCCTGCCGACTCATCACCGTCCTCCCCAGTCTCTCCGCGATGCTCCTCAGCTTCTCTTCAAATGCCAGCCATCACACGGGCAGCTTCACCTTGATGGGCTTGCACTGCGCAAAGACGTAGCGTCGGATCTGTTCTGCCGTCTTTTTGTCCATCTTGTCTGGTTTCAGAGCGTTCATCTCAAAGATCAACTTCTCGGTGGTGGCCCAGATCACCTGACTGGCAAACTTCTTTGGAATCAGCTTTTTCAATCGTTTGTTCTTGTCTCCTACCGTTTCTGAGAGACACTTGTGCAGCTGGTCTCGATGGGTGCCAAGGAAGAGCAGCTTGAGGGGATCTCCCTTCGTTTTGGAGACAAACGTGTGCATGGTCCGCATGCTCAGCTTCAGGTTTTCTTCATTGGTCCGGGTGGACCGGTAGGGCTTGGACACGGCTCTTCCCCTTCGGTAGTAGCCGATCGTTGGGCGGTGATCCAGTGGCTGGGAGAGATCGATGACCAGAATGCAGGCAGATGTCTGCCCTAGGAACACCGTCATGGCATCCACAAACTCGGGCTGGCCTCCGCTATCCACGATGTACACACATGTTTCGGTGACGACGGTCTCTAGGGAGTGGCTGGGGATGTTGATGAGGGAAATGAACTCCTCCTCCACCTCGGATGACTCCAGCAGGGATTCCACCGACACCTCTGGGGCCGTGTCAGACGACTGGTCACCACTGGTCGTGGCTGCCATACTGGAGGCAGTGGCCGAGGCTTTCGTTTCTTCTGTGACTGCTGGTGAGGATTTCTGGGGAGAGGATGCTGACTCTGCTGCTTTGGGGGAGTTGTGCTTCTCTCTGACTACAGTAGGTGGCTGGGTGGCTGGCTGGCCTAGTTTCTGGGCACGGGCTCTCAGAATTTGGGCAATGTATTGCTTCTTCTCGTCTGCAGTCTTCTTCCTCCACCTCACCCCCTTCCCTTCCACAAAGACCACCTCGGTTTGGACGGGTCTCTTCAAGAGTGGTGTGCTCTCTCGTTCTCTCTCTGCCAGTGGCTCCTCGTCAGTCAGTATCTGTAGGGACGTTGACTTCCCGCTGCCTGCAGTACCCACCATTGTGACTTTTGTAATGAGTCGTTCTGTGATTCCACGTTTCATCTCCTCTTCATAAATCTTCTTGGCCTTGTTGCGACCTGTCAGAGGAAATAATATTATGCTATACTAATATCCACACAAAATAATTATGCCTGAGAAGTGGGTTCGACTAATACTTGGAAGGACTCAGTTACGTCACTGTGTCAGAGAGGATGGAAAGTGTGTCAAAGGTTTGCCAGACGCACATGCCACACGCGTAATTCAATGATAGCTACTTGGCACATTAATAGGCACGGTTGAAAGTTTTTTTACCTATGGTTAGATGCACTGCGCTACGTGTGGTGGATGTTTTATGGTCATCTCTGCAGTCAATGCGTAACTCACCAGCTAAATGCAAACTATACATGAGGTTGCTAATTCAACTCGCCTACTAATGTGCAAGCCTAAAAACTGTCTATACCTGTTGAGATGGGGAGACTGACTTACCAGTGGGGAACATGGACTGGAGTCTGTCAAGAACATTGTGGAACTGCAGATCATTATATACGAAACCACACCTGTAGAGAGCATCTGAGACATGCTCCCATGTTGGGTGAGGATGTTGGGTGTGATATATTCTGATGACCTCATCTTTCCTCTCCTCATCACTAGTGAACTGAGACCTTATCTGGTCCAACTTTGACTGTGGGACATACAGTCTACGACCAAACCCCTCCCACTTGCCAGCTGGCAGTGTGTCCAGTGCTGCTCTCGTGTTGGAGGGAGTGAGGCTGGGATCTGAGAGTAAACAGACAGATAACTATGATTGGGGAGTGAAGCAAGCCTGTACTGTTCTCCATATGACGATGGTGATGATGATAATGGCATTGTTGCACATACACAATAATTCTAATTACGTGGATGTACTGTGTGACTCTTTCGTTACGTCGCCAAAAATGGTTTGCCGTAAACCACTACATTTGTGTCAAGTCGCGCACAAATCAAGCTCTCTTCCACTCTCTGCTCTTGGTACAGATGGTTTCATACATTCATCATCTTACTACAAACTCAAAATGATTTTACTTGGTGTGCATCATGCATTATAAGCTCTATTTTTTCTGTTCAGTTTCCACAACAAAGTGTGGTAGACATGCAACAATAAAATTGTGATGGGCTCATGCAAACAACTTCCAGTGTAGACAGGGAATCAAAATCGCGGCAATTGAAGCAACAAAACTCTGCACAAACCATTCAGACAGACAGACAGTCTAGTGTTTCGGGAGTAGCTAGAGCGGCGGAGCAACGTATCCTAGCGTTCGCCGTTCAATAGTCCCGCACGAGATGACGGTCTTGCGCTCTCGTCTCTTTCTCGCATCTTCCTCTGCTTGGAAACGCGGCTGTGCGCGTATACGGAGCTGATTTGCTCTGCACTAAACATGTTATGTACTCCGTATACTCGGGACATACCGGATTTCAATGAACCCTCAGGCCCTCCGCGTAGTGCCCTCGCTGCGCTCGGGACACTACCAACGCGGAGGCCCTCGGGTTCATTGAAATCCGGTATGTCCCTCGCACGTAGTACATAACATATATATATATACCCTGGTTCACCTACCATACAATCCCCCTCCATTTTCCCACTTCAGACACAACATAACAATGTAGTATGTACACATGGATAATTATGCTGACGAGTGGGGTCAGCAAGAGATGGGATTGAAAGAGCTGCCAGGACTCTCAATGTTGGGGCAGTATCAAAGTGGGACTCTAGTTTCCCTTGGATGACAGTCTCGGTTGCTGAGGAGTGCGAATATTATTCTAAACCCATTACGGTTAGAGGGGCTCCAATTGAGGCTGTGACTTAGTTCAGGACGAGATGTTAAAGATGTGTCCTCTAATATGCTGCACCCGCGGAATACACTGCTGAGGGATACGTTTGGGATGTTACTCAATCGATCATGACAATTTCTCAAACTAGGGAAAAGATCACAGCTCTGTGCTCTGACTACTCGCTCCACAGATATGATATAATGGAGAGTTGCTGGTCTGTGATCGAAGCCAAGTGATCGTCCAACGTTTCAGGATTTGGTGGGCATGCTCAGTATAGTCTTTTAAGATGGAGTCAGACTATATACCTGGACTTGTCTAAGGTGTCACGTCGACTGGACATGTCCCATTGTCTCCGATCCATGAAAGGCTCACTCCCTCCCTCTTCTCCACCTTCTCCTCTTCCTGCTAGCTATACAGCAACAGGACACTGTCGGCCGAGCATATTGATAATGAGTACATCATTTCTTCAAAATGAAGGGGGAAATATAGGGATGGCTTGAAGCAACAGAAAGGAAGAAACAACAGTTTGTTAAAATGTAAAAAAACACACAAAGCTACATGATAGCTACCGTCCCTATGTTTTTGTCCTATAGACTCATGGACAAGCAATGCCAGACAAAGGATGGTATCATGTAGCTTTTTGTGTATTATTAACAAACCCTTCTTCCTTCCTTTTTGGTGCTTCGAGCCATCCTTTTATTCCCCTGCATTTTGAAGATGTGATTTACCCATTTGTTTTTAGTGTAATTTTTTGCTTTGAAAAAGTTTCAGGTTATTTCTCACTTCGTTGTTTATTCCTTCTTATGCCCCTCAATTTTTGTACGCTATTAGTCCTAGCATAGTGTCGGCTTCTTTATACAGGTGTACCAATACCATTACTGTAAAGGAAGGGGTTGCTTGAAGCATAACAATGAACATGTGGTGTTTGTTGATGATTTAGAAGTATATAGCAAACTTGAAAGTGATAGTATAAACAGAACTCCTACTGAAGGGGAAGTACTAAGCAGTAAAAACAACTGCTGCCCATTTCCAGTGCAGCCATGTGTGTATATTATACATCCACTATTATTACAGGCAGATTGGTAGGCTAGCAGCCTACGATTCAGATAGCAAAATGAAGTGGTACTATCTCATACCAATGCTTATGACAGTCAGTTGTAAAGAGAATGACATCTGTCCAACGTGGTTTCATCTATCTCCTAACTCGTCTGATTGTGAATGTGGGAGCAGTCTCAAAGGAGCAATTGAATGCAACAATGCCACAAAGGAGGTATCAATAGCTCTAGGCTACTGCATGACTCTCAGCAACGTCTCTGGCAGACTTCAGCTGGTTGCAGGAAATACTAACAATGTGTTCATTGGTCGCAGTTTTAGAGGGTACACATTGCTTCCAGAGAATGTATCAGAATTGAATGAATTCATGTGCAGTAACTCAAGAGGAAAGGGTTTACGGTCGTTTCTTTTCTTTTTGTGCGGAGAGTGTGTATCAGGTTATGCGATATGCCCCTAACTGCATATAGCAAGAGCCTGTGCAAGTGCCAACACTACCTATTTGCAGTTGGATTATTGGTGATTGCTATTGGATGATATTTGTGTTGCCATGACACATGCTTTGTTTAATCCTTGTATTTGCATCATAAACGTTTCCACTGGCATTTCTCTTTCACCTACATCATATTTTGACCAGTAAGGTCATATCGCATCTGTAAAGGCCTACACTGGTTTATACTACATTATGGGGAGTAGTACGAGTAGTCAGTAGTATTTAGTATGGGGTCACATTGGGCAAGTTGGAAAGTTTACCCTGATGATGTGAACCTATCAATTTGCTCTCTGGATGGTCGCAGTAGTATTTCATTGGTATATACATATAATCTAAGTCCACATGCCTGCCCATCACTCTGTATCAGGAATGCAGCGTGTTATCTGATTGACATTTCTGCCGTTATCCATTGTACTATTGTTTGTAACTTGTTTCGTATAGAGTTGCATGCAAAAAATTGCAGTCCGGTGGTAGTGTTGCTTCGCACTATTTAAAAGAATGTTATTGCTGTTGTATTGAAAAGAAACGGAGTGTCAGTGATTCTACTATCAATGCCTATGCAACTACGTTTTACTCTCTCCATTCTTTATCTCATTTATCTCTTATTCCATTGTGTATGCTCATGATGCATATGATGAGAGAGTGGGGAAGTTGTAAAGACGGTGTGTAATGTTATGACACTGACATTCAGTGGTTCAGCGTGGGCCACTGCCCTATGCTTCCCTGCCAATTCTCTTCTTCTGGTACTGGGTGTATGTCCCACACTAATTCTCTGTCTTAATTCAACCAGATGTTCTAGAAATTGTGCCCAATAAGGCAACGTACCCACTGATGTTCAATACATTTGTTTGTTTGAAACATCTTTCAAAACGTTACAAGGACGGTCTCAACAATAATTAGACTATCGATTCCTTAATTTCTTCCAATGAGTGCTGTGGGTTATGTATTGTTTGTTTTGTTTCCTCCTACAACTATTGAGAGTTCGCGACGTTTTGTGCCGTGTTTGGGGGGCCAAGCCGGGACGAGGGACGACCGACATGACGAACGAGCGCGGGAGAGGCGGAGAAGGCAACGAGAGTGACCCAGGTGAGAGCGGAGGGAGCGAAGACAGACGAAGGCTTTTGTTTGCGTAGCGAGCCGCGATGAGAGAAAAAACAGGATAAGCCTACAAGTCAACATACAGTGAATGTTTCAAATGAGTTTTCACACAACAAGGTCATTGCAATAATTGGTGTCATAGTGACGTTATGGTTTTGAAGAAAAGTAATGTCTGACAATGGCTTGCATATCGCTTCACATTTTTTTTCCTATTAGCTACCTCACATTGTTGCTGCAATGACAGTTATGTACAGTTCATGATTCTAATTCCTTGCATCAAAGGCAGAGTGAGTTGGCTCATAGGGATGTGGCTCTCACTCTTTCATCGCTCACAAACAATGGAGTCTCGTCTCATTCAGCGACATTCCACACAGACTGGAGCATCTAATGCTTATCAAACACTCACTGGCAATAGCCATACTTTAATGATGTTACGTGTCCTCGTATGGGACAACTGTGAAAATAGCAACTGTTTGCTAGTACTCTGTGAGCTGTTCCTTGTGGATGATGTTGCCTTATGATGTATAATAATTGTACTGTCACAAATATACACTTAATGTGATAATACTATTTAATGTGAATTTTATGGAAGCGAGCAAAACAAAATTTTTATACCAGAACATATATAATCCGCAGAAAGTTCATGTATTAATAATTATAGGATCTCTTTATTGCCTCTGTCAGGCCAGATTATTGATATTATCTAGATGAGCCTTCCACAGTGGGCAGAGGAAATCATATAGTTCTCTGGGGCGACAGTCCCTATGGGGTTAATAGTCAGTGCTCACACAAAATTGGTCCGCGTTATCTTTAGTTGCTTCTTAGCCTATCGGCTATCAATCAAATAGTGTTCATTTAGTATCAGGGCAAGCCCATCTACCTTCCCTGTCTTCCCTCGTCCCCCAACCTCACCCCCCCAACCGTCCCTCCCCTATCATCCTGTAGCCCCCTACCCCCAAAAGCAAAGTCGTCGCTCTATTAACCCATCTGCCACACCAGCAGGGCAGTGCCATCCACCTGCCTTACATCTCACCTACTTTAACTCCCTCCTTTTCCTTACTGCCTCACTGCGATCCCCCCGCCCCCGTACTCCAGTCAATGTTCTGGCAGGGTGGTTTGTTGTGATGTGTTTATGGTGTTGCAGTCAGGGGCCAGTTCGTTCATTATTTAAGGAGCTCTACAGAATGCTGATACAAACAACT